TGGCTCGGCCTGAGCCGTCCCCGTTTGTTACAGCCCAGCTGCCGAGACCAGACCTCTGCTCGGCCCCTTGGGTCTGATCCTGCCGAGCAGGAGCCCTGGGCCTGGCTCTGGTGGCAGGGGGTGGGGGGATGTGTGAGCCGTGTGGGCTGTCCCTGTCCCTGCACGGGGCAGACGTGATGCTCACAGCTGGCACAGCAGCAGTTCTGCCTCCTGGCACCCCTGGCCTGACCCTGTCCCTTTGCTGTCTCCGTCTCAGATGCACTGAGTCCAGCTGAAACCACCACAGGTGAGAGCCGCTGGGCCGGTGGCCGCGTGACAGAGCCAGCACAGCACCATGTGTGTGAGAGAGCAGGTCCTGCTCTGCTCTGTGACCATGTGGCTGCTCCTGCAGAGCCTCCTCCTGGCCTCCAGCCTCCGCTTGGCCGCCGCCTTCCCCAAGGGCTGTTACCCCTCAGAAGAGGAGGGGCTGAAGACCTTCCGCTGCAGCAACGCTCAGCTGACCGAGGTCCCCAGGGACATCCCCAACGACACCAACAAGCTCTACCTAGATTCCAACCGGATCCCATTCCTGCCCCGTGACGCCTTCCGGGACCTGCCCCTCCTGCTGGAGCTGGACCTGTCCCAGAACTCCATCGCCAGCATCGAGAGCGGGGCTTTCCGGGGCCTGGCAGAGCACCTCCGCTCTCTGGATTTGTCTTCCAACAGGCTGGTGTCAGTCAGCAAAGACACCTTCAGCAACCTGAAGGCCAAGGTCAACCTCTCCAACAACCCCTGGCAGTGTGACTGTCGGCTGCAGGAGCTGGTCCGTGCGGTGGACCTGCCCCCCGGCTCCTCGGGCGGCATCATCTGCCACTCCTCGGTGCAGGAGGAGCACGTGGGCAAACCTTTCCTGCAGGTGATGGCCGACACGGACTTCTGCAACGTGTCCAAAAAGACCACGGACATCGCCATGCTGGTCACCATGTTCGGCTGGTTCGCCATGGTGATCTCCTACCTGGTCTACTACGTGCGGCAGAACCAGGAGGACGCCCGGAGGCACCTGGAGTATCTCAAGTCCCTGCCCAGCAAGCAGCGGAGGTCGGAGGAGTCGTCCACCATCAGCACCGTGGTGTGAGGCACCGGCTTCCCACAGGACACGAGGGCCCACGGAGCGGGGGGTCGGCAGGAGCCGCCAGGAGCCACCGTCACCGCGCAGGAACAGTCATGGATCCGTTTTGCTCTCCTTGGGGAAGCGGCGTCTGGCAACGGGAGCCATGGCCAGGGAGCACCGGGCCAGGGAGC